AAATATAGTCATTTATTTATTTTTTAGCCAAAGAGTGAGAAACTTAGTCAGAATATTTTGAAATTCCTAAACATTATGTGGGGAACATTTTTACGCCATTATCCCCTAATTATGAGTACGAAGAGAGGAGAAAAAAATATATATTAAATTCACTTCAAAAATGTTTCTACAAAATCGTGTTTATGTTGGATTTTGTATAAAGTTTATCTGGAAGGAAATTGATTTACCTGTTAAGGAATGTAAAATAATGTGTGTGTCCTGACTAAGAACACCGAAGAACAAGGAACAGTCACCATTAAGAACGCGTTATTCTGAATAACAATAAACATAACAGTGACTTTGAGGAAAATGAACATTATCTCACACCTATTCAAAGAACAATTCGCATGAACAAATACTGAATTTAAGAACACGGGTCGTTCTAAATCCAATAAATAAAAAATAACGAATCTGAAGAACATTCTAAAGAACATTTTACTTTGAAGAACACCGGTGGCCCTGAAGAACATAATGAACTTGAAGAACATCGGTATTATTATGGGGGATGAATGCGTTATCAAATAACTAAGAACATTAGTAATTTTTCGCCATTGTTCTCTTGTTATTTAATTATCTTTCCTTCAGAACCACCATTCATATCTCCTTCACAATCATCGAACATCACTATCACTCTCTTAACCCCCCACCCCCCCCACCCCCCAACATTTCCCATCCCCATTCTTAACTTATCAACATCATTCCCTCAACATTCCACAATATCTTTATTATCTTTTATTCTTATTATTCTTTATTATCCTTTATCATCCACTCTTCTTCTCAATTTCTTTTTTTTTCTTTTGTTTACTTTTTATTCCATCTTTTTCTCTCTCTCTTTTTTTTTTTTTTAGTCTTCTCATTTTATTTTTACTTTTTGTTTCATCCATTTTTTTTTTCTCTTTTTTTTTTTTGTCTTTCACTCACAAAGCATCATCTTCGATTCCCCGTAAGTCTCTATTTGCATATTAATACGTTGATGTGACGGGAACTTGAAAGGAAAATCTTGCTAAGATGTTCCAGGAAATCTTTTCATGTATTGTGTCTCTTGTCTTCATCCTCGGCGTCTCTTATGATTATTGTTATTGTTATTATTCTTGGTTTGTTTCTTCTTCGTCTTATTATTATTATCGTTATTATTCATATTATTGTTATTATTATTATTGTTATCAATATTAGTATTATCATTATTGTTGTATTTTTATTATTATTATTATTATCATTATTATTATTATTATTATTATTATCATTATTATTATTATTGTTGTTGTTGTTGTTATTGTTATTATCATTATTATTATTATTATTATTATTATTATTATTATTATTGTTATTATTATTATTATTATTGTTATTATTATTATTGCTATTATTATTATTACTATTATTATTGTTATTGTTATTATCATTATTATCATTTTCATTATTATCACTATTGTTATTACGCGTCCTCTTCTTCAACTCCTACCACTTCCCATTCTTCTCATTATCATTATTATTTTCCTTTTTAATTTCTTATTTTCTTTCTATTTCCTTATTATGCTAATTCCTATTATTTATTGTTATTATCATTATTATTATTATTATTATTATCATTATTATTATTATTATTATATTATTATTATTATTATCATTATTATTATTATTATTATTATCATTATTATTATTATTATCATTATTATTATTATTATCATTATTATTATTATTATCATTATTATTATTATTATCATTATTATTATTATTATCATTATTATTATTATTATTATTATTATCATTATTATTATTATTATTATCATTATTATTATTATTATTATTATTATTGTTATTGTTATTATTCTTGGTTTGTTTCTTCTTCGTCTTATTATTATTATTATTATCATTTTATTATTATTATTGTTATTATTATTATTGTTATTATTATTATTGTTATTATTATTATTGTTATTATTATTATTGTTATTGTTATTATCATTATTATTATTATTATTGTTATTGTTATTATCATTATTATTATTATTATCATTATTATTATTATTATTGTTATTGTTATTATCAGAGAGAAAAGAGTGATTGTGTGTGTGTGTGAATCTCCGCGTATGTGTGTGTGTGTGTGTCTGCGTGTGTGTGTGTGTGTCTGCGTGTGTGTGTGTGTGTGTGTGTGTGTGTGTGTGTGTGTGTGTCTGTGTGTGTCTGTGTGTGTGTATGTGTGTGTGTGTGTGTGTGTGTCTGCGTGTGTGTGTGTGTGTGTCTGTGTGTGTGTGTGTGTGTGTGTGTCTGTGCCCGTGTGCGAGTCCCTGTGTCTCTGCGTGCGTGTACGTAGCCAACAAACAGATAAACAACCAAAAAAAAATAAAAGAAAAAAATAAGAAAGAAAAACATTGAGAACATCAGACCGGGAAACACACAAACCAAGAGCACAAACACGCAGAGCAAAAACGTAAACACAAAATAAATAAACCGAAAGAAAAAGACAAAAAAAAAAAATTACCTCCAGCAACAAAACTTAATTCCGAAACCTTAAAAAAAAAAAAAACCTTTTGCCTTTCCTCTTCTGCCAGGGAAGTTGAGTCTCTCTGTCCTCACTTGAGTCTTACTCCAGTACAGGCGGAGGAGGAGGGGGTGAAGGAGGAGGAGGAGGAGGGGATTGAGGGGTGAGATAGGAGGAGGAGGTGGAGGGGGGGAGGGACCAGGCGGAGGAGGAGGAGGGGGAGGGGGGGAGGGAGTGAGGGAGGAGGAGGGGGTGAGGGAGGAGGAGGAGGTGGAGGGGGGAGGGAGCAAGTGGAGGAGGAGGGGGTGAGGGAGAAGGTGGAGGGAGTGAGGGAGGAGGTGGAGGGGGGAGGGGGGAGGGAGCAAGCGGAGGAGGAGGGGGAGAAGGAGGAGGAGGAAGAAGAGATGGAGAAGGAGGAAGAGAAAAAGAGAAAAAGAGAGCACACGAAAAGGAAGATTAAGAGCAATATCAGAAGAAAAACAAAGAAAAAAAAGAAAGAACGAGTAATGGCGGAAGGAAAGTGAAAATGAGGTAGAAGATAGAAAGGAAGAAAAAAAGGAATAACAGAAGGAGAGAGAGAGAAAGAAAGAGGAAGAAGATGAATAGGAAGAGAAAGAGGAATGGCAGAAAGAAAGGAAGAAGAAGAACAGAAGGAAAAGGAGGAGGAGTAAAAATAGGAAAAGGAAGATGATAAAAATAACAGAATAGGTGGAAAAAGAAAGAAAACGAAAAAGAAGAAAGAAGCTAGTGAAAAGGAAGAAGAAGAATAACAGAAGTAAAGGGAAGAAGAGGAGAAGGAGGAGGAAGAGAAGAAGGAGGAGGAAGAGAAGAAGGAGGAAGAGGAGACGGAAGAGGAGAAGGAGAAGGAAGAAGAGAAGAAGGAGGAGAAGGAGAAGGAGGAAGAGAAGAAGGAGGAGGAAGAGAAGAAGGAGGAGGAAGAGGAGAAGGAGGAGGAAGAGGAAGAAGAGAAGGAGGAGGAAGAGAAGAAGGAAGAGGAGAAGGAGGAGGAAGAGGAGAAGGAGGAGGAAGAGAAGAAGGAGGAGGAAGAGGAGAAGGAGGAGGAAGAGAAGAAGGAGGAAGAGGAGACGGAAGAGGAGAAGGAGGAGGAGGAAGAGAAGAAGGAAGAGGAGAAGGAGGAGGAAGAGGAGAAGGAGGAGGAGGAAGAGAAGAAGGAAGAGGAGAAGGAGGAGGAAGAAGAGAAGGAGGAGGAAGAGAAGAAGGAAGAGGAGAAGGAGGAGGAAGAGAAGAAGGAGGAAGAGGAGACGGAAGAGGAGAAGGAGGAGGAGGAAGAGAAGAAGGAGGAGGAAGAGAAGAAGGAAGAGGAGAAGGAGGAGGAAGAGGAGACGGAAGAGGAGAAGGAGAAGGAGGAAGAGAAGAAGGAGGAGAAGGAGAAGGAGGAAGAGAAGAAGGAGGAGAAGGAGAAGGAGGAAGAGAAGAAGGAGGAGGAAGAGGAGAAGGAGGAAGAAAATAAAAAGGAGGAAGAGAAGAAAGATGAGGAGAAGGAGGAAGAGGAGGAGAAGGAGGAGGAAGAAGAGAAGGAGAAGGAAGAGGAGGAGGAGAAGGAGAAGAAGGAGGTGAAGGAGGAGGAAGAGGAGAAAGATATGGAGTAGGAGGAGGAAGAGGAGAAGGAGGAGGAAGAAGAGAAGGAGAAGGAGGAGGAGAAGGAGGAGAGGGAATCACTGGAGTTAAATCAATAAACCTCTAAAGCCTTTGGTCTTCGAGGGGTAGGGGGGGTAGGGGGGTAGGGGAAGGGGTGGAAAGGGGATGGGTTGCGGAAGTGGGGTAGGAAGAGGGGGTGGGAGGGGGGGGTAGGAGAAGAGAAGGGGGGAAGGGGTACGGGAAGAGAGGGCAGGAGGGGGGGAGGGGGTACGGGAAGAGGAAAGGTAGGAAGAGAGGGCAGGAGGGGGGGGAGAAGGGGGGGAGGGGGTACGGGAAGAGGGGGGCAGAGGAGAAGGGGGAGGGGGGGCAATGGAGGACTGGGAGGGGGGGTGGCGGTAGGGGGAGGGGGGTCAGAGGTCAGATAGAGCGGAAACATTTTTTTTCAATGGGGGGGGGGAGGGGAAACGGCAGGGGAAGAAGGTGCTATACGACTTCTATTTGCTAACTAGTAACTTCCTTGAATGTTAAAATACGTGAAAAAAGATATACATATAGAAATAATTTTGATAAATATATAGACAGACTGATAAATAGATAGATATGCAGACAGACTGATAAATAGGCAGGATATATAGACAGATAGACAGATAGATAAATAGATAGATACATTGACTGATAGGTTGATTAACTAACTGACTGACTGACTGACAGACACACCAACTCAGTCACAACATATCACAGTCACAATTCACAATCAACCAAAGCAGTTACTCAGTCACACGCTGCATTGCAATGATGCATTATAATCCCAACATCGTCTGCAAGGTGTCGTGGACAGAGCCGCGTGTATTGCAACTTGGACACTTGAGCTAATCTCGTAATGCGCAGCCGTTCGCGTAAGCCTTCTCTCGACGCCGTTCGTGTAAGTGCGTTGGAGTTGATTGGGAAAGTGACGGGGGGGGGGGGGGGGGGGGTACGGAGGGCGGGGTGGTGGTGGGAGGGGGGGGTAGGTTGGAGGGGGAGGGAGGAGGTTGGGGATGCTGTGTGTGACGGGGGGGGGGGGAGGATTTCTGGAAGTGTGTTTGTTTGTGTTTATTTGGATGGGGGGTGAAGGTGTAGAGTGAAGGAGGGGTGAATGGGTGTAGTGTGTGGGTGTGGGTGTGGGTGTGGGTGTGTGTGTGTGTGTGTGTGTGTGTGTGTGTGTGTTCTAAGATGCTTATCCTGTAAGCTACTTGTACCCAATAGCAAAGGTAAGCATATACGGTATATAAATGGTTACAATACAATACAGTACAATACAAAGACTTTGATCATATGCGCATAATAATCCATACACAAACACACACACACACACACATACACACACACACACACACACACACAAACAAACAAACAAACAAACACACACAAACAAACAAACACAAACAAGCAAACTAACCAACAGACAAACAAGCAACCAAACACAACCCTCTTGCTCCCCCTCCCCCCCCACACACACACAACATACACACGTAAAAATGTTCAAGCATCGAGTGGCGAAAAAGTCGAAAATTCTCGAGCGCACAGCAAAGCCTCCTCCTCTACGGTCCATCTTTCAGAGGGAGTCAATAACCGGAGCGATATCTTAAGCGGCCGCCCACCTTAAGTGAAAACCTCGGCTCGACCAGACACCGAAAGATTGTTCTCGTGGGCGGCGCGGCCATCCATCATTCTATTTTATACAGAATCTGCATCATCTATCTAACGGAGGGGGGGGGGGGATATCTGTGTAAAAAAAAAAGAAAAAAAAAAAAAGTAGAATAAAAAAATAATGTATCTCAAGGGGGATATTTGTCTATTTTT